CAGCTAACAGAAAACATAATTTATACTACATGCAGTGCTCTTACTGAAACCTCAAACTAAACTTTCTAGATTCACTATGTTGCACAAGGTAAGTGCATCCACGTTGCTGGAATTGATCGATGCACAAGCAACTTTGGCTGGATTTTTAACTTGAAGGACTGAATGGCTTGCTTTGGTGCCCGTATCTCTCTGATCTACTTCATGCATCAGAATTTTCTTTCCAATTTCAGGTTTAAGCATCTTTCTGATGCTTTTTATCAGGATTCCATCTCATATCAAAACAAAAACAGAAGTTGCTGGAAAAGCTCAGCAGGTCTGGCAGCATGCATGAAGGGAAACCAGAGTTAACGTTTTGGACCCTGTGACCCTTCAGAACCACTTAAAGAAGCCATCTCTGTACTTTGAGTATTACACGTGTCTACCAACCCTTTTAAAACAAAAAAAGATATCTAGGCAATTTTAAGAATAAGATTTCCAAATAATTTTTATCAGCAAGCTCGCATAAATACACCTGCTGCTGTCATGTTCTACTCCAGTGCCCAGGTGCCCATTTTTGCCCAAGTGTCATTCTGGCTCTGCATTTATTCTTGAGATCCTAATACTGCCAAACTAGTCAACTGGATTAGACCATCATTGTTTGTGGAGGTAACTGTCTTAAATTTAATTTTTGTATGACACACGAATTGGTTCAGAAATACAAATTCATTACATAAATATTGCAATTGTGATTTAAACCAGTGCTTTCAAAAATACTTTCACATCATCTTTTCTGTCCTTTCACTAAAGATTGTCTTATCAGAAACAATTAAATTTTATTGACATAAGTAGGAACTTTAAGTGGTGTTTGTGAATTTATAATGCTACTTAGAAGTTAAATTGTCCCTGCAAGATTAAGATTGTCTTTACTAATCTGTTCAGATGGGTTATTGCTCCATACTGAATATTGTCTGATTGCTGGAATGAGGCATTCTGGTTAATGATAGTTAGCAATTTTTGAACTCTGACCCGTCATTCATGTGACTCAAGTACCAATGTCCTTCACCTTCTGATCAGCTAAGGTTAGTGACAGTCACAAGCTTAGAAGCAGCTTTCTTTTATACAAGATTATATTCTTAAATAGAACCTAGTCTTCTTTTATTTCTGGGAAATAATTTCATGGCATCCTTATGTAGAGTATATGGCTGTTTTTGTGATTCTTGCATTGTGACTGCAAGGATAATTTTAAATCAGTTGAGTATTAAATGAGGCCCATATTTTGGTAATGCTTTCCATGTCCTTGGACCATCCCAGAGTACTTTATAAATAATTACAATTGAAATATATTTCCTGTTTTTTTAGGAACGTGATCATGAGGATTGCATTCTGTGTTCTTCTGTTTCTTTGTTTCATAATTATAGAAAACCATATTGTCTCAAACATTGCCTGTTCATCCTTTCAATTCATTTTAGTATTCAATTGTTACATCAGTCACATAAAAGGAGTAATTAATGTTACAGTAATGTGAACAAATACAGAATATTTATTGTAATCTGAACAGGAACTTCCACATACATCACAAGTACAGAAGCAGGGTTAGACCTCTTAGTCTGGCAGGCTACAGTCACACCTTCTGAGTCACATGCAACATTGCTTACATCAGTAATTTACCAAAAGTCTGTTGTCCCACAACATTCGTTGCCTGTGTTTTTGTCCTAATTTGATATAGCTGCCACTAGCAATGCCACCATTTATTATCCATTCCTAATTGCCCTCTGGTCAAAGTATTGCCTCAACTGCCACATTGGGTAGGGGTTTCCAGGATTGGATTGTGATAATGAAGGAATGCCAATATATAATCCAGATTTATGATTATTTGAATTGGAAGAAAACTTGCAGGTGATGGTTTTTCCATGTGCTTGGTGCTCTCGTCCTTCTGGATAGTTGTGGTTGCAAGATTAGGAGAGGCTATCAAAGCTTCTTTGGCATATTGCTGCAGTGCATGTTACACTCGTTATGAGGTGAGCCAAGAGTGCAGTGTGCTTTTCTAAGGTCAATGAATAATTACCAGTCAAATTTTCCTGGATTCTGTTGAGCTGCTTGAATGTTGCTACCTTAATTCATGCCACTGGTGAGCATTCCATCGCATTTCTGAAATGTTTGTAGAACGTGCACAGTCTGAGCAATAAGGGTTTTTTAATATGTTGAAAGCTAATGCTGGTGGCTTGTTCAGTTTTACCCTATGCTTTGTGATAATCTGGTACAACTGATTTGGCATGCTATATAGATTCTGGGTGCAGTTAAGTCAACCACCTGATGTGTGCCTCAAGTTACAAGAATGGCAGATTTTTTTTCTCCCTGAATAGGTGAGATTTTGAGGCAGTCTACCATTTTGGTCAGTTACAAGCTTACTGCAGAACACTGCAAAACAAAGGGACTTGCGCACAGAAAGCGAGCATGTAGGTGCAGCAGGTAATCAGGAAGGCTGATGGAATGTTGGTCCTTATTTCAAGGAGGTTGGTGTATGAGTAGGGAAGTTTTATCGCAACTGTACAAGGTGCTGGTGACACTACATATGGAGTACTGTGAGCAGTTTTGGTCCCTTTTATTTAAAGGTATCATTTCATTGGAGGTAGTTCAGAGATGATTCACTAGGATGATCCCCGGTGTGGCAGGATTGTCTTAGGAACAAAGACTAAACCGGTTGGGACCCTACTCTGGAATTTAGAAGAATGGGAAGGGATCTCATTGAAACATGTAGGATTCTTAGAGGATGTTTCCCTCATGGAGCGTCTAGGACTAGAAGGCATAGTCTCAGAATTTAGGAACACCAACTTAAGATTGAGGTGAGGAATTTCTTCTTGGAGTTGGGTATCTTTGGAACCCCTTGCCACAGAGAGCTGTGGGGACAGAGTCCTTTTGTATATTTAAGGCCAGGAGAGATTCTTGATCAGTGGGGGAATGGACGGTTATGGCGAAATTGCAGGAGAACGGGTGTGAAGAATGTCAGATCTGTCATTGGAGGCTTGAAGGGTCAAACAGCCCACTCCTGTTCCTATTTCTCATGGGCTTATTTCTGTAACTGAACTTGAATATCCTAGCTGCCAGTTTGAGTTTATGCCTGTGAATTATTTGTCTGGATCTCTAGATTTAGTTCAGTAACATTGCCAATATACTGCACTGTGCAGTACTTCTAGTCTTTGTTCTATTTCTGTTAACCACTTACTATCCTGTAAGCTCATGCTGCTTGTGTTGAATTCCTACTTGCAAAAGCATCTAAAGACAATGAAGATTTGAGTACTTTGGCGCAAGATGCTTGTGTTTTGTCTGTAGCATCATGTTCCTTTATTTATAAGGGAGTCAATTTCATGGATTGCAAACTGCAGAATTAAAAGCAGTGAACATACTTTAATATATTGAGATTTAAGATGTTACCACTGTTATGTCTTCAGGTCATGGAGGTGTGCAAACTCCCTTACCAGTCAGGACAAGTGTATTAGGTGCCCAATTCTAATGACGATTTTTTTTTGGGGTTGCCAGACAGATACACTGTAACTTTGTAGAACAGGGACAGAGCAGGAGTGTTGAAAAAGGAGAGGAAAGAGGGAAGAGACAACAAGGTGCAAGGCTGGATGAACACAGCAGGCCAAGCAGCATCATAGGAGCAGAGAGGCTGACGTTT